TCACTATGTAAGAATTCGTTCACCATGTAAGAACTTGTTTGTTATGCTTCAGAAGATTGGAGACTGACGAGAATTAGGCTTGAGATGGATTAATGATTGTGTATTGAGCACTGACCCCCCTATACAGAATTAAAAAAAAAATTTTACTGTAGTTTGTTCCTAAAGAATGAAATGGATATTCAGGCCCTCCCATAAAATCTAGTATTTTTGTTTTAATTCCTGTGTTGGGGCAACACTTTCCTTTATTCAGAGTTACCTTGTACCATATCTGCCAAAGTTCTTTATACTTTTGCTCTTTGAGTTTTTAAAGTGTTGTCCCCCAAGATTATGCCCTAGTTTTACTATTCAGCTTTTATTAAAATTTCAATAGATTTACCATTCTGATTTATGTATAACCTCTTCCCAGGCATTCATTCCTAACTCGGGCATTCTGCTTCTTACTTGATTACTAATTTCTCTGTATGCTTTTCTCCTTCATTCTTTGTCTTTTCTCCCCACTCATAGCCATTTCTGTGCTTGTAAATCTTTCTTTCTGTGTGCATCTTAGATGCCATTGACCTTGTCTCTTGAAGGTCTCCTCCTTTCCAAAATCTTTTAAGAACAGATATTTAGTGAAGGGCTTAAAAAAAATTAGGAATGACAACTTCACAATGGTTAGAATAGTTTGTTATGTTTTAGGTCTGGATTTTGTTGATTCAGCTGATTCCGCAATTATATACTGAGCTATTTGCTACCTCTGCGTTTTGTGATGCTGATTTGTTTTTATTATCCCATCTTTCTCCCCCTAACCCTGAAAAATTAGATAAGCATTATTGTCACCCTTTTCAGGTGGAGATACACATACTAAAGGCAGTCAACAGCCTGGCCATATTCTGAGAGGTTATGAGCAGCAAAACTGGGTTTCAAACACAGGTCTGCTTACTCTCAGCTAAGTTCTTTCTCTTGGGTCACAGCAACCTCTAATGAAGTTATAACTGATAGGAAGGGGACCTGATCATTTGTTTATCCTGTAATTTCATGCATTCCTTTTTTCTTTCTTTCAACCAATGAACATGCATTGAGAATTTACCGTATGCTGGGCACAGCTCTAGGCTCTGGAAATTGCAAATTAAGTAATACGTGGGTCTGCCTCTGGCAAGCCTGTGCTTTAGGATGCCTGTAAACCAGCACGACCTTGTCTGCTCAGTGCCCTTGGGGGTGTGTTTGTTGTTCAGGAAGCATCCTAAAGAATGGAGATGGTCTGGGAATGATTCTCAGAGGAGGATTGGCCATATATACACTTGCTAAAATTATTTATCACATATTAAAATTCATTTAAAAATATTTTTTAGCATTGTACCTCCTAAGGACCTACAGTGGCCTTGATGTGGCTTCTGGGGGCCACTACCATTTCTCTGCCCTCCGGCTCACCACCTGCTTTTGTCAGCACTTCCCAACTGCTTTCAAACCACAGGGACATAGGGTTGCCCTGAAGATGTCTCCTTTCCTCTTGCCTTCTCTTATCACTGCCTGCTATTCTTACTTCCTAAGAGCATCCATGTATAAAGCAATCTTCTCTACCAATCTACATCACTCATTAAAATCTGACTCTCAGTATGTTTCTAGAAACCTGTTCTCTTTGAATGCATTTGACTTATTTATTTATTTTTTAGTAAGATATCATTGATACACAGTCTTATGCTCAGGTTTCACATAAGCAACATTGTGGTTATTACATTCCCCCTATTGTCAAGTCCCCACCACATGCCCCATTACAGTAACTGTGTATCAGCATGTAAGATGCTATAGAGTCACTACTTGTCTTCTCTGTGTTATACTGCCTTCCCTGTGCCCTCCCCCCTCCATATTAAGTGTGCTAATCATAATACCCCTTAATCTCCTTATTCCTCCCTTCCGACCCACCCTCCCCAGTCCCTTTCCCTTTGGTAACCATTAGTCCATTCTTGGGTTCTGTGAGTCTGCTGCTGTTTTGTTCCTTCAGTTTCTGGCTTTGTTTTATACTCCACAGATGAGTGAAAGCATTTGGTACTTGTCTTTCTCCACCTGGCTTATTTCACTGAGCATAATACCCTCTAGCTCCATCCATGTTGTTGCAAATAGTAGCATTTTTTTTCTTCTTATGGCTGAATGATTTTCCATTGTGTGTATGTACCACACCTTCTTTATCCACTCATCTACTGATGGACACTTAGGTTGCTTCCATATCTTGGCTGTTGTATATAGTGCTGTGATAAACATAGGGGTACATATGTCTTTTTGAATCTGTGATCCTGTTTTCTTTGGGTAAATTCCTAGGGGTGGAATTCCTGGGTCAAATGGTATTTCTATTTTTAGTTTTTTGAGGAATCTCCATATTGCTTTCCACATGGTTGAACTAATTTACATTCCCACAACAGTGTAGGAGGGTTCCCCTTTCTCTGCATCCTGGCCAGCATTTGCTGTTGCTTGTCTTTTGGATTTTGGCCATCCTAACTGGTGTGAGATTTTAATTTGCATTTCTCTGATGATTAGCGATGTGGAGCATCTTTTCATGAGCCTGTTGGCCATCTGAATTTCTTCTTTGGAGAAGTGTCTGTTCAGATCCTCTGCCCCTTTTTTAATCAGGTCATTTGTTTTTTGGGTGTTGAAGCATGTGAGCTCCTTATATATTTTGGATGTTAACCCCTTATTGTATATGTCACTTATGAATATATTGTCCCATACTGTAGGATGATGCTTTTTTGTTCCATTGATGGTGTCTTTTGCTGTACAGAAACTTTTTAGTTTGATGTAGTCCCCATTTGACTTATTCTTAATAATTCTTTTCCTAGATCTATAATTTCACCATTGTAAATCAGAGCTTCAGAGTTTTCCTAGTATCATATAACATATATTCAAATTTCCTTTAGGTCAGTTTTGTAACCATTACTGTAATGACTCTTTGTGTTTAACCCCCAGTGTTTTATTTTAGACAATACATATTTATTTTGATATTTTAAAATCATTTATTTATGCCCTGCCATGTTGCATAAACAATTTGAAGTAGCTCGGACCTCTGTTTGAGCTCTGTTCTGCCACATGCGTGTGGTGTGACCCTGGGAGAGGTGCTCTGTTGCCGGATTTTCAGCTTGTCCATCAGAGACACCCTCACAGAGGGTGACGTCTGTCCTGCGTCCCCTCGCGCATGAGTGAGGGGTGAAATTGCTAAGATGCCATGTCAGTGTGAGGCTTGTCTTCCTTTTGCCCCTTCTGCCTGGAACGTTTTCCCTTCACAGTCGTGAGGAATTCAGTGCAGTGTGCTGCCCTTTAGCCTATAAGGGAACTGCATCCGCCCCTGTCTCCACTGCCACTTGTCCCGTGGTTTGGCCTCGGTGGCCTCTCCTCGGGATTCTTGCAGCAGCCTCACAAAGGAGGTTTCCTGCCCCTCCTCTTGCCTCCTCTAGTCTGCCCTCCACACTGCCTCAAAGTGATCTTTCTGAAATGAAAATGGGATCCTGCTCGCTAGACAAAATCCCAAGTTGTTAGCATGGTTTAGAAGACCCTTCATAGTCCGGCCACTACGCGCCACTCCTTTTCTTCCTGCATTCCACTGCTAACTCACAAGGCTGCCTGTGGCCTCTGAGCCCCTAGACACCATGGCAGTTCTCTGCCTGGATCTCTTCCCTCAATTCATTCCCCTTTTGCTAGTCAGATTGTATCCACCTTTAAGTTTTAGTTCAGACGTCACTTCCTCCAGGAAGCCTTAGTTCAGCCTCTAGTTCAGATCCCCTGCACTCTTTCCCCAGAACCCTTCACTCCCCATTGTAATAACAGTGACACCGACCTGAGGGGTGGCAGTCTGGCTGTTGAATGTTCCAGGTGTCTGGCCCAGGCACTCCCTAAGTGTGGGTAAATGAACCAGTCAGTGTGTGAGTATTTGACTGCCCAGACACAGAGAGCTGGCTTATCTACCAGCAGTCATATATTTACACTGTGGCCGTGGTGTCCACCAGGATATAACCAACCTTCTCCTCTCTTATTTCCTTAACAGACAGAGATGTGAGTAGTGGGAGTTACAACCTTTCTTCCGCGACTACGGGCAGCTACTACAGCTGTGTCAGCCAGATCACCATAGGTGAGCAATTGTGTAATTTCGTTTTGTAAAAACTACTGTTGCCAGGAAAGGCTGGGGTGGGGAAGCGAAGGGAGGCGTGAGTGGAAAATGTAATCTCAGGATCATTTGTTTTCTGAATCAGAGCAGTTGCTCGTGGACACAGCATGTCCAGGCGCCCTCTTGTGGAACCGTATTGCTTTTGCATAGAAATGGCTGGAGTAAGTGTGGTCCAGAGATTAAAAAACAAAACAAAATCAGGTTTTCCCAACTTTAGACATTTGCTTTAACTCTTTCATTTGTGTATCACACGTATTATTTTGTACTTATCATTAAAACTGTTTAAGATTTATATTCATCTATTTTAAAAAGAAATTTTACATCATAGCTGCAAATAGAAAATGTATACTGTTTCCTGTAAGTATTAGGTAATGCACACATACGTAACAGTAGATCAATGTTATTGAATGCTACCTATGCTTTAAGGAATCCTATTTGCGCCAGCTGCCCTGTCCCCTGACTTCTCAGAAATAAAACCCCATGTCATAGTACCTGGTCTCAGAAACTTGAGGTCTGCAGGCTGGGGCATGTTATTCTGTATCCCTCCCTCCCTCAATGAAGAACCCTCCGTCCCCTGGACAGGAGACAGCGGGCTTGCAGGACATGAGTTCACCCAACGCTCTCTTTGAGCTGCCTTCCCACTAAACCTTAAACACATTTTAGTTTGGTCAAAAAGTGACCCTGACTCTTCTTCTGTCTGTCGAATCTTTCCCTTTCACTTCCTTTCAGAATTTTCTTGATCACAGAATCGTGGGCATTGACTCAGAAAGAAGAGAAAAATAATAATAGTGACAGGTAATATTTACTTTGCACATAGCATTTGCCAGCTGCTTTTGGCCATTGACAAGCATCACTTTACTTAATCAGGACGCTCCGAGGAAGGTACTATTTTTATTCCATCTTATAGATGAGGAAACTTGTTCTTTGCCATCCAGCCAGAAATTAGTATATGCATGATTTCAATCCAGGTCTGTTTGACACTAAATCTCATGTATATTATTGTTTCTCAAACCCCAGTAATGTGGACCTCTATAAAAAGAAATAGTTATGAACTTCTAAAATTGATTTATTTTTATTATAAAAATACTTAAGTATGTTCAAACATAAAACTAACTGTAGACACCTTATATTCCAAATAGCCATAAAAATCAAATCAAAATGTGTAAATAAAATTTGCAACACTGTGAAGCAAAAATATTACAAATTTCTGCCATTAGTCTAATATGACAGGCATGGTTGTTTTGCTGAAATGCAGTCACTGCTTGTAATGCAATGTGTCATGAGCTGTAGCAACATAGATCCTTTCAGTTCAGTACAGCTTTGCTAGTAGGTATTTAGAATAGCTCTGCTTTGCAACCACCTTTCTCTTTTAATACACTTTCAAATCTCTGTTAGTGCCTGAGTGAGGTTATAGGTTTTCATTTGTGTGACTTCTTCATCTCTCTTTTTCTCATTGAGTACAAATTGTTGCCAACTTCATGGAAACACAAAGCAAACCCAGGCACCAAAATTAAGTGGCAGAACATGGTCCATAATATGCAAATACTAATTTTGAAATGAATAAGTTGACTTTCAAATGAAAAATAAAGACAATTAAAAAAATTCTTGTGGTGAGCTTGTGGCCCATTTGGAAACCCTAACTCACCTAAAATGACAGTCCTAAAGGCATTTGTTGAGAGGTGAGAAGTCACGTGGAGTCTTGAGTAAGAGGGTGACTAGATGAATGCATGAATGAGAAAAGGTTATTCTGGTGGTGAATGGGATGGATTTCATGGGGGAGAACCTGGTGTCATAGCAGAATAAGTGGCTGTGATAGTCTTGACATGGGACAGTAATGGACTTGGGAGGTGGGGTGGTGGGTTTGTGTGACAGTAATGGACTTGGGAGGTGGGGACTTGGGAGGTGAACACACTTCTTAGAAAACCCAGGGAATTCCTAGAAGGGGGATTGAGGAGGGTTAAAGTTCAAAGTCTGCCCTGGTGACATCCCCAAGAGCCATGCCAGCAGATGGAGGGGGTGGAGCCAGGCTTGCCAAGCTCTGTGTAGGGAGGGATGAGCGAGCAGGGATTTCTCTTTTAAGACACTTATCAGTGAACATGGAGAGTAAGTAGTAAGGACCCCCAGGGGGGCTTTCTCTGGGCCAAGCACTGTTCTAGGTACTTTTTCTGTACATTTAATCCTTACAATAAGTCTGTGAGGCAGATACTATTATTTTCCTCATTTTACAGATGAGGAAACTCAGTTCCTGAGAGGTTGAAAAGTTATAGAAGGATGCATGGGTAACAAGAGCTGGGATTTGAACTCAGGCAATCCGGTTCCTGCTGGCAACCTAGTTCTTGTTATGTGTCATGTGCCTAGTGTCCTTCCTTGGTCCAGCAGCTGTGGCCACCATGTCAGGGTGTTAAGGGTTGAATTGTGTCTCGTGAAAACATGTTTTGAAGTCTGAACCCCTGATACCTGGGAATGTAACCTTATTTGGAAATAGGGTTTTTGCAGCTATGATCAAGTTAAGATGAGATCATACCTGCTTAGGGTGGGCCCTAATCTGATATGACTGGTGTCCTTGTAAGTAGAGGAGAAGAGTCAGATGTACAGGGAGGACAGGATGTGGCAATGGAGACTACAAGCCAAGGGACACCGAGGCTAAGACAAGGCACGGAGCGGACTCTCCCCAGGAGACTTCAGAGCCCGCAGCCCTGCCAGCATCCGGGTTTCAGCAACCTAGCCTCCAAAACTGTGAGAAAATACATTTCTTTTTTCTTAAGCCACCCAATTTGTGATGACTTTGTTACAGCAGCCTAGGAAACTAAGGGAACAAGTTCTTACTGACATACGCAGTCACCTCTGAAGGGGAGGAGGGTGTGACAGTCTTCTCAGAAGGTTATGGGATGACCCTTGAACGTTGCTTCTGTGTCCTAACTCAAATTGGCTGAAACCACAAGGACATTTATTTCGCATAAAGGGAAGACCTGGCCTGTCCTTAGGACAGGTTGATTAGGCTGCTCAGTGTTGTTCCCCTTTGCCTTCCTCAGAGAATTTATTTTCCTTGCGGCAGCCGTATGGCTGCCACGTCTCCAGGACTGGGATTCAGACACGGGGATCAGAGGGAAAGGAGCTTTGGCGCCTCCCTCGGTTTTCTCTTTAGGAACTGAGACTTACCCCTTGCAGGACTCAGGGACTTCTAGCCCACTGGGGAGAACTGGGTCACATGACCACCCTTGACCCTGTCATTTAAGAGGGAGATAAGGTTATCTGGAGACCTGTCCCTGCCCGTGTGGAGGGGAGAGGAAGAGGCTGAGTCACGGGGCTGAGTGGGAGCGGGAGGACTCCCCAAACAAAAGACCATTCTTGGGAGGAAGGCAGGGGGTATGGATTCTGCACAGGCATCAGGCAGTGTCCACTGCCCACAGTCCGTCCAGTGCAGAGCACTTTTGCAATATTTATGGTAAAAGCAGAAAATATAATGAACAACCTTTGACTTAGTCCTGGAGGGGAGGGCAGATCTCTGGTTTATTGGACAATTCTTTTTTCCAAAGCTCTTTTTGTTTTCTTTCATCACCTGCACTTCATTCTTTTTCTTACAGTCATCTCATGCCAAGTGTCTCATTTGTGAGAATTCCATGGAAGATACGGCATATGCTGTGGGTTTCCTCTGAATGTTGTTTCTTATAGGAACCTGTGTCCTGCTGAAAGGATTGCCAAAAAATTCTAACAGAAAAATGACTCTTTCTGAAAGTTTTTCTAGTTATCTATTAAACTCTTAGATAACTCCTTATTTTCTGATACTAAACTCTGGCTTTACCCATGGAAGAGAGATTTAAGAACTTTACAGTTAATTAGCATCATTTTTTTTCTCAAGACAGCCTGTGGTTTTGAGTGTTCCTCACCTGTCTCTCTTCAGGAGCTCTGTGTAGTGGGAGATGGTGTTGGCCTGGAGCTCAAAGGGAGTTGGGACTCCTCGTCCCCTGCCGGTGGACAGGATGGTGAGGGCGGGAGAATGGATTGGCTGCAAAGGTGACATTCCTGTTACTTGCCTCTTGAGCCCTCAGATGCCAGCTCTCTCTATGGATGGCTGGTTATCCTGTCAAAATACTTTGACCTCATTGCTACTTTTAAATTTAGCCTGGTCCATTTATATTCCATTAAAATGATGCAGATCTTATCATAGCTAATTTGTATCAATAACATGGATTGAAATGTTTGTAATGAACTCCATTTCTGGAGTCAGTGATGTGGTAATTTCCCAACTATAAACAAAAAAAAGAAAAGCAGCCTGTTAGCTATGTGGTAGTTTTCAAAATTAAGTATAGGCTGTAAGGTGGCCATCATTTTATAAAGGAAAGGGTAAAACCTGAAATTTTGGAAAGTGCAGAGTTGCTGGGGACTTGTAAACCTAACACTTTGGTGCTGTGCTCTGTACCATGTAATAACCCCAGAGGAGCTTGGGAACATGGGCAGAGAAGAGGGATGTGGGTTTCTCTATTTCTCTATCCAAGAGTTTAAGGCCCGAGGAAACATGGTCCTGTAGCTCTTCTTCTTGTAAAAGGAGTCTGTGGTGTAAAGAGAAGGTAGTATGTTTTCAAATTTTTAATAAAAACATAATGAGACCTCCATTTAAATGGGGCATTTGTGAATTTCATTTCTGTGGCCCAGTAGTGGGAGTCATGGGAAATGAGAGAGCATTGGTCACAAAATAAACAAATTTGCATCAGAGGGTTTAAGTCCATCCACAAGGTCGGGGCAATCCTGGGTCGGTAGCATTCCATTCAGTCTTCTGTGGTTCTGGCTCCATTGCAGTTCTGAAATCTGAGATTTTGTGTTTTCATGGATTATCTCTGCAGGCTGCATAGATAAAGGAAGGAGCATGTACCTGCACTGCATTTACCGTTTAGGAAGGTGACTATCCAAGGTGAGGTCAAATGATGTAATAGACATCTTTTCAAGTTTGTCACCATTGCCCTTTCCTCGAGCATTCTGGTCCACCGAGATTTGTCTATGGACATTGTCCTTGGGGCAGTAATAATGTCCTTAAGACTTAGTTCACTCATCCATCAAATGGGAATATTAGTACTTAACTAGCAGGGTTATTGTGAGGGGGTTAAATGAGGTGGTGCTGCTAGGTCCCTTAATACAATGCCAGTAAATGTTAGTACTATAATTGTTAGTGAATTTATAATTTTATGACAGTTAAGTAGGTTGTTCATTACAAGGCTTCAGCCATGACTTCTATGTGGGTGGCTACGAGATTTATAATTCTGGTCCCATTTCTCCTGATCCTCATACCCATTTTTTCCAGCTTCCTGCCAGACATTTTCAGATTGGTATTTCCACTAATGCTCATATTACTCATATCTAAAAACACACTCAACTTTCCTCAGCTCTTGCCAGGCCAGTCCTTCTGATGGCTGCCGTCAGGGTGAGAACATCTGCCCTCTGTTCGCCTTAAGTCTTCCCTGGCATTGCTGGTGAGGGAGAAAGCCACCTGATGGCCCAAACTCCTCTCTTTCCACAATGTGCTCATCTCTGTGGATCTCTTTTCCTTTCTTGCTGCAACACTTAAATACGATCCCTTAATAACACTCACTTGGCTTCTACTTCACAGCCTCTTATATCATCTCAAGGCTGCTGGTGTCTAGGAATTTAGTGAGCAGTGGGGCTGTACTGAGTGCCAACTCTGAGCCTAGCGTTGTGCTTGGGGCTGGGGACAGAGAAGGGAGGGAAAGAGCCAAACAGAGAAACACTGAGAGGGAGTCTCAGAGATAATTAAGACACCCTCTGAACTTGAGGGATGCTCAGTTCACGAGGGAGAAGCGTGCAGGAAGGAGCAATGCTTGACTGTGAAGTGCGGCAGGGGCTGACTGACATACGTCTGTGTTTAAGTGGTTTCCAGCACCGTGTGGGAGACCTTCCCAGTCACCAACATTTAGTCTCCAAAATCACACAGGCCTCCTCTCTTTTCACGCCTTTTGGGCTTTCTTGGTTGGTCAACCACCACCTCCCCAATTCAGACTTATCTCCCCAACACTTTCGGTCTCTGCACACCAGTACCTTCTACTGGGCCTCCCTTCACCACAGTGAAGACAGCTTGGGAGAAGCAGAGGAGGCCTCCCAAAAGGTCACCACCACCAGGGGAAGAAATGACAGATTCTGGCTACTTTAGCTGCCATTAACTTGATTTTTCCAATCCCCACTTCACAGACTTTCAGGGATATTGTTTTGCTTGCCAAATATAATCTAGTTTTCTTATGTTGGCCTGTAAGATCCTCAACTATTTTGTATCAGCCTACCTTTCCAATTTTGTTTTTTTTTTTCTCTGATTACACTTAATTCTAATCCTAAATTCTGTATATCTAGGTTGCAAATGCAAAGACCTGGAGAAGTCAGGCATATGAGACAGATGAGGGAGGCAGACAGGGAGTAAGGTACAAGGGCGTGGTGGAGACTGTGGCAGAGTGGAATTCCTTTCCTCCACCTCAACAGGGTGGCTGCCATGGTCACTCCAGCTAGCAGGTGCCATGTGGGAATGCAGTCCAGTGTTGCTTGAGTTTTAAGAGAAGATCAAGAAATTTTTCAAGAGAGTCAGAAAGCTGGATTTTTATTGAGAATTCTCTTAATTTTTATTGTCAAATTTAGTTGGAATTTTACTTCAAATTAAGAAAATTATAGTAGATAACTCTTGAATCACCATGTTGTACACCTAAAACCAATATAATATTATATATAAACTGTTTTTCAATAAAAGAAAAATAGAAAGCTTGGGCTAAACAAAACACATCTGCAGAGCAGATCTGTTCCTCTAGCCTCTATGATGAGACCCTTGCCTATAAGGCCAAGTTCATGACCCTTCTCTTTGACCTATTACCTCTACTTGGAAGGATTTTCTCCCAAGAAATCCTGGGTTTCTGTCCTACTTTAAACTATTTCTTTCACCTTGCTTTGTAGTGTAGTTAGTTATAGTTTAGGGGAAATAACAAAATCTAATCTTCTTTTTATTGAATTCTTAGCTCCTTAAGGGCAAATCCTGGGCACCTAGCACATAGTGTATGCTTAGTAAATGAATGTTGAATAGTGAACAAGATCCATCAGGTGTCACGATTCCTACCTGTATATTAGTAACATGCATCCTTATCTCAAGCAGTGTTTGATTTGACTCACAGTTAAGACTTTTGGGAAATACAGGTTTGGTCTAAGGTTTGATTGCTGCTCCTGACCTACTGTGCTTGTCTCACCAGGTTATGATGTCACTGGGCCTGTTGCAGTTGGGCTCAGCCACTGGAAAAATCCATACGCACAGGGCAGACCCGCCCTCCCATCAGATCTGCCTCTGTTCGTCTCCAAAGATGCAGGCGTCCCTGTGTACCACCGATCCCTCACCCGCAAGACTGAGCTGGCCACACCTTTGTCTTGCCCAGCCTCACTGTCCATCACTCCAGTGCCTTCATATAGCAGCAGTAGCCAGGAAACCCTGAGTCAAGACACAACAGGTAACAATGTTGACTTCCTGCTGGAGATTAAGCACCCAGCATCCTTAAAGGTTCCTTAGCACATTTGCCTGCAGAACAAATCACATCTGCATTTCTGCCTGTGGGATGCTGTAGACTTCAATTCCCCCATGGTCACTGGTCTTTACTAGCTTGGCTATGTCAGAAGGAAGATTAGATGTTCAGAAATATTTGACCTAAGTGTTAATTCTCTTCAGTAAAATGTCATCTTAGAAATCAACTCTGAATTGGAATTCTAAGTTTTGTCATATGACTTTTTGTTTAACTAATTTCCTTAATCCTCTCTCTATAGTGACAAGGTATCATTTTTGGATTAAATGCTGATATTGAAAGCACTCATCAAAAAGCCATTTTTGAATACTTTTATTACTAACCATTTATGTTGTTCCACCACACTGGTCTGGGTCAGGAGTCTGCAAACTGCTGCCACTGGGCCAAATCTGGGCTGCCATCTGTTTTTGTGTAGCTTGAGACCTAATAGTTTTTACTTTTTAAAAATGGTGTCTTGGTCCCTTCGTGCTGCTATAATGAAATGCCATAGACTTGGGTGGTTTATAAACAGCAGAAATTTATTTCTCATAGTTCTGGAGGATGGAGGCTCAGGGTCAGGATGCCAGCATGGTCAGGTGAGGGACATCTCTGCAAAATCTCATAGTATCCTCATGTGGTGGAAGGTTCGAAGGAGGTCTCTCTTATAACAACACTAAACCCATTCATGAGGGCTCTACCTTCATGACCTAAGCACCTTCCAAAGGCCCCACCTCCTCACACCACGGCAGCAGACTTAGGGTTTCAACATAGGAATTTTGGAGGGATACAAACTTTCAGAGGGTTGGAAAAAATGAAAATAATAATAATATTTTGAGATACAAGAAAGTTAAATGAAATTCAGATTTCAGTGTTCATCAGGTTTTATTGGGACACAGCCACATTTATTTATTTATTTATTTATTATCTCTGGCTGCTTTCACACATTGATGTCGGGGTTGAATAATCTGGCCCTTTGCAGAAAATGTTTGCCAACTGCTGACCCATGTGATCTTTGGGAGTTGTGACTTAAACAGTCAGGGCAAGAAAAATGCTTACACATCTTGCCTTTAAATTTGTCACTTATATTACACTTTAAATGAGTTATAGAAAGCTTTGCCTATGCAAGGGTAGCCAGTTAATTATTTTTATTTCTAAAGTCAAATTTGGAGGTTTAAGTTATGTAAAAATCTATCCTGCCATGTTTTTCTTCTATAGATATAGCACTTTGGTTTAATCAGGCAAATCCAACATGTAATTTCTGTTCTGGTATAAATCTTTGAATGTTGACATGCAACATTCATAGTGACACTCAACAACAATTCACAGATGCTGCCACCTATAGATGAGACGCTGATGTAGCAGAAATTCCATGTAACGAAAAGCAAAGCGCAGTCTCTAAAGCAATAGCTTGCAGACTCCACTAACTGTAAGGATCAACGCCGAATTGTTGAAAATTGATTCCTGGGCCTCCCAGGAAATGCTGTGTCCATAGTACAGGGTGAGTGTCAGCAGGCTGCCCCTCCCTGGGATTTTGATTCCTGAGGTTCCCGCACCCCTTGGGGGATACCTAAAGTGTCTTTGGTTAAGGAGCTAGATGATTTGTTTGGGGGTGTTGGGGGACATATGCATACCATTAGCCATCTTTTTGGTTGTCCTGATCGAGGAGTCAGTTTGCAAGTAGAAATATCATGATCTGGGTTGTGAACTTTTCCATATGTAACTTGGAAATCTCCTGGGGTTTAGTGTTCCTGTGAATAAAAACGGACTCTGCTTGCTTTAAAACCTTGAGTAAAATCGGAAGTTAAGAAATAAGTGCTTTTTGGCCCATATCACTGCAAGGTTATGGCATTTCTTGGCAAAGAGTGTGAAATGGTAGCTGCCAGATTAACATTTTGTCATGTTTCTCTTTGAGTTCGCTCTTTCCTTCCCCTAGAGCACCACACTCAGGAGCAATCTGATTTTTGGAGGTTTCTATTTTTGATTTGTAGATTTTCAAAAACAAATGAAAAGCCTCTTATTTCTCTTAATTCCTGGGAACTTTCCATTATCAATGAAATACAGAAATTTTCCAAGCAGCTGTTTCTTTTTTATTACTATTAGTTGTATACTTACAAAGTAAACCTGAACATTTAAAGGTACATTAAACAAGCTTGACTGTTTCATTATAGGAAAATGTAGATGCTGGTATAGCTTTTGTAAGTCTCAGTTACGATTATACATAGTCTAATTACTACATTTTTAGATTTCTCACAGCAATTTAAAAATTTTAATATGCATTTTTTATATGAAAACTTCAAGTTTCTTTATTCTTTCCTGTTTTTTTTAAAGCTAATTTTATTATTTATTTATATTTTATTTTTTGCTTCTGTTGCTAGTTTGAAGAAAACTCTGGGTGAGCTAAGTCAGTTCAGCTGCCCAGAATGTCCTACAAACTCCAGACTTGGCCAGGCATCCCTTCATATCCCTTTTGCATAAATTTCAGTTCTGATGGAGAGGAGCTGATAAGTTTTAGGCACAAAATAACTATACGATTATGTATTGATTGTCAGAGTTTTCTTGTATTTAAGAATTCTCCAAATGTATTTAAAAATCATTTTTCCACTTTATAAACCACACAGCTCTACAATTCTAGAAGCAATTTAAAAAAACTTAAAAGAGAGCTTCTGAAGTTCTCATTTTATTGAGCAGTTTTTACTCCTGCCACTGCCATATTCCATCATCCTTTTCCTTCATTTTTGTGACTGACTTGTATAGTTGGTTCTCTTTTATTGCATTTTACTTAATCCCACTTGCTACCTTGTGCAGTAAGCAACCTGTGAAACACTACATGGCGGCCCTGGACATAGTACTCATGCTGCTCTTCCTTGTGGCAGAGAATGTTTTAATTAGTGAATAAATTGTAGCAGGTTAAGTTGGAAATACCGTCCTCAGTGTCTGGCTTGCTTCATCTATCCAATCTGTACTAAGTTCCCACTCTGTGCCATGTCCTGAGACAAATCCTTGGTACACAAAACTGAGTAAGGCATCACCCCTAGGGAGCTCAAAGTCTATAGGAGGAGACAGATAGGTAAATCAAGTATTTTAATTTAGTGTGATAAATGTTAAGATGGAAGATTTCACTTAGCTAATTGCACACATTTTTAAAAATTATTTAATAAGTAATAATACTTTTTAATATTTAATTAAATAATTATTAAAAATTAGTCTACTATTAAAATAATAGTAGCATTAAAGTATGCTACTATAGAAATATGACATCAAAGTATGTTAGGGAAAATATATTGAATGCAAGAGATGTTATTAACTTATTTCTTCAATTAAAAGAGGACAAATTTGAGAGAATTATAGGAGGAAAGTTTGGCAAGTGTCTCCATCTCAGATATTCTGTGTAGGTTGGATACCCAGTTTTTGGTGACCAAGTTTACAACATGCCTCACCACTGCACAACTCACATTTTTGGTCACTCCCTGACACCAGCTGATTTTCACCCACTCTCTTCTGTTGTATTCCATTCCCAACAGCGTGCTGATCACTCCAAAGTGATATTTCCATGTCTGATTTCTCTGAAAAGATTTAAGATGAATTTGTAACTGCCTCCTAGAACTTTCAGCTTGGCTATATCCCATGCATCTCAAAACTCATGTGTGCCCCGAGTGGCACTTTCTTCTAGTAGTTCTTACCATTGAATTTCTTACTCTACTTAGTGGTGTCATAGTCTATCCAGACTCTCAGGCCAAGATCTGGGTGGCCTCATGCTTAATCCTCTGCTGTCCGTCAGCCTCCACAGCCAACTGGCTAACACATTTATTATGTCTACCTTAGAAGTATCTCTAATTCAGACCTCCCTCTCCATCCCTCCTGATGCTATCGGAACTCCAGCTCTCATCATCTCTACCTAAACTAGTGACGCAATCTTTGTTACCAGCACCCCTACCTCTTAACTCTTCCATGTCCAGAGGGTTAGCCTTCCCAAATTCAACTCTCTGTCCCTCCCTCCATTCCTTCTCTCCACCTCCTCCTTGAAAACCTGTTGCTTCTCCACTGCCAATAGAATAAAGTCTAAACCCTTCATACATGGTACATGAGAGCTTTCCTAATGAGCTTTAACTGACTGTCATCTCTCACCACTCTCTACAGATGTGTCCACACAGTAGTTACACTTAATTCTTTACTGTTTCCCAAAGATCCATGATTTTGTACTGTGCTACCTACTTGGATACCCTTTCTTACATTCTGCTCCTAGAAAATGTATTCTTCAAATTTAGCTAAGAGGTGATCTCCTCTGTGAATTCTTTCTCATTTCCCCTCAGCACATTTAGTCAGTCTTTCTGTTTCCATTGGAAATCCCTATTGAAATCTGGAATTCTTCTCATATTAGACTGCAGTGTAACTTTCTTTTCACATGTCTGGCTAGCCTACTAGATGTGAAGTTCTTGAGTTGATAATTAATGTATTTGATTAGTGTAGAGCCTAGCATATAGGAAGTATGTTTTCCATGACCATTTAAATGACAGATTAGATACTATTGAAGAGAGAATTAGGTCTGGAGGACAGACTGAAGACATTACCCCCAATGCAGTATAGAGATAGGAGATAGAAAAACAAGGAGGTGGCTGAAATATAAAAAACAGAATGAGAGATTCCAACATACATTTAACAGAAATCCTGTCCTGGACTAAGAGAATAGAAATGATGGGGAGAGGTAGAATATTTAAAAAAGAACAATGGCTGAGAATTTCTCAGAATTGATGACACAGACAAATCTTTTGATTTGAGAAACTTGTGACTGCCAAGCAGAATAAGTAAACAAATCCACATATAAGCATACTATGGTGAGTCAAAAACAGAGAAAAATCTTAGAAATCTGAGGGAAAAACATTTTCTACAAATGAGAAATTATTAAACTGACAACATACTTTCTAATAGTCATAATGAGAGCTGTAAAACAGTGG